ACAAAGTATATCGCAATTTATGGAGCTTAAATCCCCATGGCCTTATGGGGATTTTAATGCTCAGGTTCTATAAGAAAGCTTTTCTTCCCACCACATTCCACATAATCCAGTGCAACTATGGGCTGCTGCCAAAAGCAATAAACCTACCTTTTGCCATTACAGTTTTGTCCCATCCCCTCCTTTCCACCAGATCTGGTAAGTCATATGGCTGCTGTGTATGGATTCAGTTTGCTGAATCAACAAACTATACTTTTTTCCACTTTTTGGTGTCCATCCAGTCAGTGAACACCCAGGCCACACAATCATCAGATTAGTATCAACAGAAGTGATGAGAAAACGTCTTTCATCTGCAGTCCACATTTACACCAAATTATATGTAGTATAAAACTACCCCTTAGCTATTCTCCTAAATTAAATAACTAAGTAGAAAGCACACTTACACAAGCCTCATATAGAAGCAAATACCTTGAGTGCTGTCTTTTAAAAAACCCTGAAATATCACACTTGAGTCCCAAGACTGCACTCTTGCATGTGTGCCTTCATTTGTTTTACTATGAATACTTCTACTCAAGCTATTTTCCTCACATTGAGATTGTGTTAATTTTATGGATGTGTTATATTTTGATTCAACTATAGTAACATAAAGTATAGAGCAAATAAATTTGCTTTGAGAAGCTAAAATTCTGAATTCCAGTACATTCTCACATGCATATGTCATACTTAAAATTAACATTACATTTTTAAAGTACAGATATGAAAACCAAATTGTGGTAACTGAAAAAAATTGCATTGTATCATCTAATTAACAGTGCTGAAATCTAAATTCTGTTCTTTCCAACCACAGATATGACAGAATCAGTCAGAATTACTATTTTACTAGATTTACTCAGAGAAGACCAGCATAATTGTCATGAACTCCACAACCTACACGTAACAGAGAAGAATGGCTTTCAACTTGGAAAATAGTCTACTTCCTCCCAGTTGTGGAAGCAAGCTTGGCAGCAGGAACTGAGAAGGGTATTTGATCCAGAAAAAAACCCTTCAATAATAACAATCTGACAACATTAATGCACCAGTCAAACATGAAGATCTCAGAGATATGCACCTTACTTTTTTCCATGAAGTGGCTGAAGTTGTAATTTGTATGGATTTAAACACAGTTGACTCAAAATATGCAGGGTCATCTAGCTACAAACTCTGATTACACCTTAACATGATTTATAGCACTCAAAATACCAGTACACCTACCTTCCTAAGTACAGACAGTTTGAGAAAATGATAGTTAAAAGATCCAAGACACTCTGCAGAACTAAATGAGGTATAATAAGATGCCTGATACCCTTAATTCTGGCAAAATTATACCAATTGGAAAAAAGGAAAAGGAAAATCTTTTATGACAAATTGTATAGAACATGCAGCCTTGGAAAAAGGATTGCTGAGGGATCAGCAAGGAGCGTGGATATTCCTGCAGGTCTGCTTGGGGAAGCCCATCATCAATCCAAGAAATATCAACCTGCAAATATGACATCCTGCTACCACTGCATCACAAGCTCCAGAGGGGACCAGAGCCTACATGAACACAAAATCATTCTGCTGCAGGTATGCCTTCATTGTTTGAAGACTTGATTGCTTGTGCCTGGAAAAAAAGTGTTTGAAGCAGCTCTTTTCAAGAGAAAAAAAATCTCAGAATTTGGTTTAAACTCTCACAACAGGGAACAAATGTCTACTTAAAAGTTTTATATATTCCACAAATTGCTAACTAATGAGTTCAGGCTGGAAAGCTCAGCCTTAGAACACAATACTCATTCTTCATTTTGCAAAGCAGTTTCTGAAGTCACCTCCAACAGCACTGAGAGCCAAACCAAGTCATACAACATGTGCAAATTTCATACTTTCAACCTCCCCACTTTCCTGCCTGAACATCAATCTAAGGCACACAGCCACAGCTGAACATGTACTTTACTCACTGGCACCTATTTTATTCATTGCCTCCCTCGTCTTCAGCAAAATCAAGGCAAGACACCAGTGTTCCTGATCATCCATCTTTTACTCTCTGCTGTCATGTCAAGCCCACAGCTGCATATTTTCCTGGCAACTGTGAACCAACTCCCACTTTGATGATTGATTCACAGGCTAGAAATAAGACATGCTTGCAAGAATAATTCTATTAACAACTTCAAACCAATCTGGTATGCACAGCTGCTTCTTCCCCTGCAACAGCTTTCCTCCAGAGGTTGTAGCCTTGTCCATCATATTAGTTTGTTATACTAACGTGTCCCAGTCCAGATTCAGGGAAGTATCCAGGCTAAAAAAATTTGTTCTGGTTTAGCTTTTTCTGTTGGGCACATCACACTCAGCTGGGATAAAGAGAAGTAGAGCAATGTTCCTGGCTACAGACACAAAGTGACCAGCAATTCAGGCACATGTCAATGATTTTATAGGTGTCTGTGTGCATCAGTAATTTTGTGCCAAATAATAAAAATAGATATAAACCTGTAAATACAGCTGGGGCACACTTGGCAGAGCAGAGATGCCAACTTCTGTAGACGTCTTGTACTGAGGAGTTCCCTTAGCTGGAGAAGTGCCTAGAAGTTATTAAAGAAGCTCACATTTTTGTTCTTCTAGTAAGGGATCAAAATTTCTTGGCCAAAACAGAAACAGAGTGCCCAAAGTGGATCATCTGCAGAGATTAACCTATGAGCACTCCAGGACCAACACACTTGTTTTTGCACAGGTGATAAGGGTTTGGCAGAACTGGAAGCTAATTGAAGGATGAAGCAGTCTACTTCAAAAACTGCTCTCAAGCTGACATGTCATGCCATTCCCATTAAATACATGTGGCAAATTGGTCCTGGCACTCTTAATTCCACCAGCTTTCCAATGATTAACCGCTAGGCAAAACCTCTGCAGGCTTCTGTACTTCAGAAAAACTGACATGCTGGAGAATTAGAGGACTTGAAATAATCACTTCTTCCCGCCACACCACATTAAAGGAAGCAACCCACAAAACTTGTGAAGAAAATAATTACATGCTTGAACAGCTAAGCGTGCCTTTGAACATATCCTGCTTTTTCAAAACCTTGATTGAAAGTGCTCCTGGCAGCTGTGCTGTAGGCACATAAATGTGGTAAGGAATGATTAAAAATTACCCATTCTCCTTCTCCACAAACTATTTCCATATTACCAGGGACATAGATAGAACAAATTATAACAGAAGTAATTCCACTAATGCAGCACAGAGTGTTTCTGACTTTGGAGTATTTTGGCTAATCAGATAAATAGTTTCATCAGACATACACACAACACCAGAGTGTATTTATAGTGTTCACAATTCTGAAAATGGTTACAGCGTTCTCAAAGATTAATACTGAGCCACACATACAGATTAAGACACCCTTGCATTAGGGATAAACACAGTATTGTTCTCAAATTTGACAGAGAAAGGTTAACATTCTCCATGACTTCTTAATTACCATGACTTTATAAAGCACACGTTGAAAAGACGACAAATGGAAGAGATTTTTGGGAAGCATTTTTCTCTCATAAATACTAAAAATGCACACACGCAAAAATGTTAAAATTTTGGCAGGAACTTACAAGAACAGAAAAAACCAACTCTGTCCTGAGGTTATACCTAAAATTTTATACTAAGATTCCACTTTCACACACTGAGTATAGTGAGAGTATTGCACACAGAAAAAAAAATGGAAAAGAGAAGCAAATGCAACACTACAAAACTTATAGCACATGTCTCACTGTGAAACACAATAACTGCAGAGCATAACCAAATGTGAAAGACAAAAATCTAAACTGGATTTTGAAATAGCAATTTCAATTGCCTGCAAACTTGAGTTATGCCTAGGTAATAATTTTTTAATAGTTTATAACCATTTCTTTTCCCATTTTTCTCTAATTCAAAGTCTAGACCTCACAAAGGTTACAATTAAGTCAACTTTTTAGAGCCACAAAAGTATGTTTTCATATTTGAAAATCTATTAAAAATTAAAATATATTATTTCAATCTTGTGAAATCATATTTTGAAAAATATGCCTTCATTATTAGGAACACCAGCAATGCATCAAGAACACCAGCCCTACCAGGAACTCACAGAATCACTTTCATCACAACAGATGAAGGCACCTACAAACCAGTTCTTTATCACTCATTAAAAATGAAAAGCAGCAAGAGCTTCATCTCACTCTGCTAATATTATCTTCTGACAGAGGAGATGAAAACAATTCATCCAGGCCTTGTATATACAGCAGCAAAGCAGAGCTTCTAAAGAAATTGTTCTTGCAAGAAGATAATGTAGATAATTAGGAAAATTTTGTTTCATAAGTTTTATTCAACCCGAATGCCCCTTTCATAAAGAAGAGGGGCTGAGGTGGGGGGAGTCATCATCTATCCTGTCATAGTCCCAGGAGAGTAAAGCAATCTTATTTTTTGTTAAAACAAGGCTACAATTTTCTTTTTAATTACTTATGACTCAAATAGCTCTGAAAGGATCAATATTCTAGAGGCAAGATCAAAACCAAACCAGATGGATATTAGAAAACATTGTAATGCAATCTAAATGAGCCTTTGCACATTTCATTAGGTAAGAAAATTTTTGAAGTATTTCTCTCATCACCCAATCTCTTTTATTTTATATAATGCAGGATTTTAGTCTGCCTTATTACAAGCAATGCATGAATTTTTCAAATAAGCGATTTTCTCCTGAAATGCCGATGCTTAAGTTAACTTTCCTTCAGCCAAATTAATTTCCATTCCCTGAATAGGCTTCATACTTGTAATCAGATTCAAAGTTAAATAACACTGAAGAAAACTGGTTTCTGTTGGTCCATCTTATTTTACTAATAAGTATCTTATAAACAGGAAATCCTCCAACTGTTTCCTTGAATGGTAATATCTTAGAGACCTGTACTGTTCTTTTGGCTTAGTCTTCACACATTCTTCATTTAAAGAGAGTACATTTTTAAATACAAGAGAAAGTACTTACCCTTCTAACCTGACATCAGGTAAAGATCTGTTGAGTGCAATCATTTCACTTGCCATTAAATTAAATTGATTTATTTTAAACATTTCTTTCATTTTCTCTTGCTCCTCTTTTGGAATGACCACAGGCTTCCCCATCTCTCCAGGTCCTTCATGTGGTTTTTGCATGGGTTCTGGAACTTTGAAAAAATAAAATGTTACTAACTCCTTTTAAGCTTGTTTTTGTTTATTAATAAATTAATTTGCACTGTAGGAGTGCAATCATTTAGAACAGTCCTAAACCCACCAGGTTTTGAAAGTGAAAACAAATCTTCACATTTGGGAGTTTAACAGAAATAGTTAAGTGCTTTTCTTACACACCAGAATTCATGTAAAAAACCAATAAGGATTTATTTCTATCCACCATTACATCATAATTGACTTTATAAAGTTCCTGTAAAGGAAAATTCAACTTTTCCAGGAAAGCCTGCATGTGCAAAAAAATCTGGGACATAAATGAGGGGAGACCTCATCGCAGTCTGCAACTTCTTCACGAGGGGAAGAGGAGGGGCAGGCACTGATCCCTTCTCTGTGGTGACAGTGACAGGGCCCAAGGGAATGGCCTGAAGTTGTGTCTGGGGAGGTTTAGGTTTGATATTAGAAAAGGTTTTCCATCCAGAGGGTGTTGGGGCACTGGAACAGGCTCCCCAGGGAAGTGGTCACAGCAGCAGCCTGACAGCGTTCAAGAAGTCTTTGAACAAGAGTGCCAGGCACACGGTGAGACTCTTAGGGTGCCCTATGCAGGGCCAGGAGGTGACCTCAATTACCCTGATGGGACCCTTCCAACTCAGCTTATTCTGTGATTCTGTGATAAATAATGTCCCAGAACAGTAAAGGTTCAATTAAAGTAAAAGTGGAGCTTTACATCTATTTCCACATTTTTATTTTGACAGAATGACATTGGCAGCAACAGTTTAGAAACAATTTCTCTTGTTTGTACTAATGTTATTTTTATGCAACAAAATTACACTTTGAAGTTTAGCATTAGTACTCAAAACAGTAACACTACACATCCTAAACCCAAAGAAATTTAAATATCAAATAACTGATAAAACTGAAGAGAAAAAATGGGAGAAAAGGAATTCAGACCCTTGAATTATTTAGGATTTTAAACCAAATATGTAAAAAAATCAGAACAGTTTTTAAAAAGTTACACTTCTCTTTACAAGTACCATTCACTTTTCTCCCAAACAGAAATGCTCAAATACTGAATTTGAACTATATTACTGCTTTACAAATTCAGTAAAAGTTTTAATTTAAATAATAGCAATTTAAGATCTAAACAGAGGAAAAGAAAGTATTTAAATTAAAGACACCAAATCCCCAAGAAGCAAGCCTAGCTTGAAATTACCTTTAATTTGCATCTAGGATAGAACAGCGTAATTAAACCTTAGGCAGAGAGTAAACAGACATGTAAAGAATAAAAAGAAAATTTAAAAAAACCGTCCTGAGCCTTCCATCCTTGCTGAAACACTATGACTTAAATATATATTACTAATAAATGAGGCTTTTTGCTGGTCTGCATTTAGTGCTAACAGGGAACAAGTACCACATCCTCCTTGAGAAACTTTCATTTTCAAGTACCTGAAGCGATTGCAGTAGTTGCATTCACACAGGAGCATTTAGCAGAGAAAATCCTCCCATCCTCCTCCCATCACAGGGGTGCTTTCTTTCAACCAAACTCTCCTTGATGGCCAGTTGAGCTACAAAACCCTAGAAGTTGCCAGCCAGCCACTCAACCAGTGAAAATTGATGGAGTAAGTGTGTTCCAGCAGATCCTGAGCAGATGGGCCACAGGCTAAGCTGAGCAAGCAGTCTGCTTTGCATCTCTGCCTCATCAGAAGGTATGGCTGGAACCTGCATCAAACTGCTGACTTGCAATTGCATAACCTTTTCAACTAGAATTTGTGCCTTCCGGGGGGTAATTAACTTAAAATTATGGTATACAATAAAGTAATTATTTGGGCTTAATTTTATATATCCAGCGTGCTATTATTATCTGGGCTATCACAGCAACTTTTGTTAAGTGTGTAGCAATGAGTACATAGGTTCACTTAGAAAATGATTTAACAATGAGTGTTCCACATAACTAAAACAATTTAAAAAACCCTATCAGAATATAGTTGTGTGCAGCATGTTTTTCTGAGTTCTGAAGAGCAAGTGTCTTAATACCAAAGGACCTATTTAAAAGAAAAAAATAATTTCCTGTTTCATTTACACTTCCAGTTCTTTCTTAACTTTCACTAAACCAGTTAAACTATAGCTAAATAGCTAAATCAGCCAAAAGCTCATCTCTCACATTTGCAGATCTTCCTGTTAAGATGAGAGTTCAGCACATCAGTGACTTGGATACTGGTGTACAAATCCCACAAATTAATAAGTTAAATTTTTAAATTTCATTAGTAAATACATACTGCTTGATTACACATTTTGCCTCAGTACCTCATTTTCCTTGCAGAAAAATCCAGCAACAACCAACTAGATCCAGATATTTTGTGCAACTCACTAAATGCAAACAGTCAAGCTAAGGCACAGGCAGGGCAATGACTTTCCAAGAAAAGTTAACCATCAGAAGATGTTCTCTCAAGTTTCTGAGAACCATCTTCCCTTGGGGTTTTTTTATGTTAATCTGTTTTCCCACAGAAGCATGTAGGTTTCACACAAACACCAACCAACAACGTTCTCCCCAAATTACTAATAAATGCATCATTAAGAATTCAGACCACAGTGTTCTTTTGTCAGTTTAATACAGAAAAAAAATTTCCTTTGAAGGACTCTATGTACTGATGGCATTTTTCTAACAAACAGAAATGAAATTTATAGCTACAGGTTTCAGAACTCAATTAATGACTGAATCACTACCTGATTAAATAAGAGATCTAGTAATGTATTTCCAGATACTTCTTATTTGTATCAGTAAACCCTTAGTTTCAAAGAAGGCTTGATCTCTTCCAGATCTTCATTTAAAAATCAGGAACTCTTTATTTCTGTGGACTAGAAATTTCTTTTTACCGGCAATATGCCTGATGAAAATCAGATAATTCAAAATCTAAGACCATCTAAAGCCAGGAAAAAGGGGTGGATTCCTCTGGTGAGATGTTTTTAGAGCCTACATAAACCAATGCAAAGTGTCCAATCACCTTTGGATGCATGACCATAATTACAAGAAGCTGTTTGGACACGTAAAAGTTCAGAGCAGTTCTGCCTCTTACACACCCCTCAACCTTAATACAACAAGACTGATTTATGACAAATGGTTCACATTTTCAATAATTAAATCTTGAAATTGCTCCCTTTTCTTAGGATTTTTTTCATGCAGATGAGATTATTTAGAAGCAAGACACAATTCAGAGATTCCATCTTTATCAGAGCTCCAAATTCAGAATGCAAGGTCTTGATTGGCAATTGACAAAAATGGCTGGTCCTAGTTTAACTTTGTCATTGTAAATACCAAGGAGCTGAGATTCCATGACTCTTGCAAATCACCAGTCCTAATTTTGAAAGATTCCCCAGCATCCAGGGCTTCTAATCATTACATAAGGGGAATGCACCTTCAGGTCAGAAAAAAAAAAAAAAGAGAAAGAGGATGAATCTGAAAGCTTATTTAGAAACCACATCAAGTGCCAAAGCTGGAAGTTGGGGTTTTTTTGCAATCAGACCTTTAGGAAGCCTATAACTGGGGGTAAAGAATGACTCATTCCATCTCCATTTAAGTCAAGACCTGAGGGATGACATTCAGGGTTCTTACAGAAATAAGACAGAACTACACAAAAAAAAACCCATTATTATTTTATTAGTAAAACCACACTACCACCTAGGTATATTTTGTTTACAAGAATGGTCCCTAATTGTACTGTTAGAGAACAGCTTGAGCCCTCTCTTTAAGTCTAAAACTTGTTTACATTTTTTAAGTAAGATCTGTTCCAGGCTGTGAAATCTAAATTGCAATGCCAATCCCCAAATGAAAACAATAAGGCTCAAGTAACTATCCTATGAATATTAGATTTGGAAAAAAATACTACATGGATGATGCTTACTAAAGTTAAGTGATTTTCTTTCCAATTCACAGCAACATTTAAACTTACATCAGCCACCTTCCTTAAACAACAATGAATTACTCTTTGTGGGTTTTACTGAGTAATCCTCAGGAATTACAAACAGGGAGCCACCACCCAGAAGATGTGGCAATAGGAAGAACATGTGTGGTGTTTTGGATAAGGGGTGTGAACCATCCACATCAGAGGAGGTGAGACAGCCTCAGAGCTGAGCACTGGGAGAGGGCTTCCCCCAGTTTTCTCCCAACCCCTCTGGGGTGGTCATGGCAGGGAGAAGAAAGAGCAGCAATACCAGTCAGCATAGCACAGGCTCCTCCCAGCTCAGGGATTGTTGTTCTGATGCCAGCTCTCCAGGTTACCTGGGGAAGCCACTGCAGAAGTCTTCTGCCATGGTGGAGGGGGTGGGCCACCATGGCAGTGGTGGCAGCAAAGGTTAAGTCCACAGAAAAACCATCCCACACAACTACAGTCACTGGATTACAACTATCCCTCCCCTCTGGTACAACCTTAGTTACTTACTCAGTCTTGTACTCTCCAGACCCCAAGCCAGGCTCCCTTTTCCCAAGGCACCTCCACCTCAGCTGGCTAGTGGCCTGTCCCTTTTCTACCTCACCTTTTGTGCCCTCAACTCCACACCTGTGTCACTTCAACTCCCAGCTTTAATCTCTGTCAGAGCAGACACCAAAGCTTCTATCTCATGCACCTTACAGTTCCCTATAACCATGTACACTGAGTTTTCCACAGTTGCACATTCCTTTACTATTCCTTTACTATTACTGATTTAAGATTATGGTATCTTATGCCATCAATACCAATGAAAAAGAGCCCAAAGACAATTTTGGCTATGGCTCTTGCCTAATTCTATAAAAAGAAAATCCTTCCATTTTCTGTGTTAAAGACCCATGGAAAACTTCCTTCAAACTTCATGAAAGCCCAAACTGTCCAAAGTTGTCCTCAAAATCCTTTGCTCCTGCTGAAATAGCTAAAGAATGATTTTTCCAACTGGACAAGCAAAACCTGAAATAAACAAACTCTTCAGAAAAACTTACTCCTGTGTTGAGTAAGTTCATCAAATGCCATGGAATTCTTCCATGAATTGCAAAGATAAAGCAGAGTGACATGGACAAGAGGATATTAAATTCAGAACACTAGCATAATTTATGCTGAATCAAGGAAACTAATTCAATTATGGAAATTAAAAGCGGAGGAAAAAGTGAAGTGAAAAAGCAGATTTTGATAAAAGCTTCACAGACAAAATAGCCTCAATGTTATCTGAGATGACTCCAGCCACTCTAAGCAGGAGTAAACCCACTAGAGATTCCAAATCAGTAAACTATTGGAACAAGTAAAAATATCTATCATCAGGCATGAAGCTTGGTTAAAAGGAAATGTCACAGGGTCAACCAAGGTTTCTAGCAGACCTATTCCTGAACCTCACTACAAATCATCCATTAAAAAAAAAAAACCCCAACCAAGAAAAAAAAAAAAAAACCCAGAAAAAATCCCCACCTCCCAAACAGGAAAATGTACAAAGCTGTGTACAAGGTTTTGTTTGTTTACCAGCCAGCTATAAGATCTTAAAAATATATCAAGAATTTCAACACACACAGGTTTGGGTAAAGGTCAGAATGAAGGCTGTACTCAATTAAGTAAAATTAGTGTTGCATAGGGAAAGTCAATACTAATATGTCAAAACAGAAGACTTTCCCTCACCTGAAGGTTCCCCCAATGACTTCATACGTAACGTCATCTGAAATTCCAACATTATCAATATATCACAGTAAGTTGATAGATATTGACTTCACCTGCTGTTTTCTGGCATAAGTTAGCTGCTTTATGGGAAGCCAAAAATTGGATATATTCCTACATAACAACACATCAGTCATTGTCTTACCATATAAAAATTTCCAAATTTCTGGAGGAAAAAAAAAAAAAGGAAAAAAAAAGGACAAAAAAGACTGAGTTGCTGTAGAAGACATACTTTCTACATGAGCCTCATTAATATTCTTGCCACTTTGCTCTCCTCTTACTGAAAAAGAAACTCAAAAAATGCAATGCCAGCAATGAAAAATTTAAGTTAGTTCTGCAAAATTCAGGTGGACTAGAACCCCTTTGAAACGTTCACATGCAGTTGTGAAACCAGGAGTCCAGAGGTGCTGAGCACAGAAATTCTACATTCCATACAGTGCTCTCTGTGGAGATTTATTGGCTTGTTTTCATCACAGGGAAAGAAAACAAGTAAACCAAATCTGACACTTCTTAAATATCTCCCCAGTGTTACTCTGTAACAGAGCAACATTATTCTTAAAATACTTCTGAAAATTTCCCAGGGAAGTCAAGGCTCACACCAGACGTCAACAGGTGAAAAAGTTTCTTGTGATAGAAAGCAATAACCTTGAGTGCAATTAACCAATTGGACTTGAAAATTAGCATCACTCAAAAGGTTTCCAACATCAGCAGTGAAACACAGACACAGCCTTTTCAGAGAGAGAGACTCCAAACTACAGAATGAGATGCTTCAGAAACAAACTGGAGGTGGCAGCTGCCTGCAGTTCTAAATGCATACACTGAGACATTGCAGGGATGAAAAATCTCCCTGCACCAGTCCTTCCTCCCATGTGATCAACTATGCTAACTTCCTAAAAATAAGGTTGGCAACATCAATAGTAGTGCTGTCAAAAAAGCCCAAAACAAAACAACCCCACACTCAGCTCATCTAATTGGTGCTCAAAACCCTAAGATGGCAATAACAAAACTGAAAGCTTATCTGAAAACCTTCAGTATTGAATAATACAGGTCTCACTTAAAAGTTACCTAGATAAGCATGTGCTCATATTTGTCACTTTTACATCCATGTTAATTCTATTATCATAAACCTTACAATATTTACTGTGCCTTATTGCTACAGTCTTTGTCCAAATTTTGGGTTAGGTGGGTTGTAGGGCAGGGGGTCTTTTTCAATTTGGCTGGTTGAAGTCTTTTTTTGCAGGGAGAGGCAGACAAGCGAGCTTGGTTGTTGGCTTGTTTTGTTTTATTAGCAGGTCTGATGAAGTTAATAGCACCTTTGCTTCCTTACTCATGGAAATTTAAAATATGCTTTAGACTGCATTAACATGGCTTAGATTTCTGCATTTCTTATTGCACAGTTTTTTCGGGTTATTTCATATACATTAGTGCTTAAAATTCTACATCTTATGTGCTTTGAGTCTGCAACGTATATCTTAAGCAACATGGTTACTCTCTAATCATTCAAAGAAACAGAATATTCTGTGACTCCTAAATGCTGACACAATGCTAGATTGTTGAAAAAAAAAATCCCAAATCTTTAAAAAGAGTGCAATTTTAAAGGAGCATAGTTTAAAGAATACTTAGGCAGAAAACTTACCATCTCCAGCTGGCAGGCCTCGTTCCTTTTTCTCATCACATTTATTGCATTCACTGAAGTACAGCAATAGAAACATATCCAGAAGGACCCAAACCAAAGAGGTGGCAAGGACCACCTTGCAATATGCAAATTTTTTCATGGCACTTTAAGTCAAGTACAAAAATAAAAAAGTATAAATAAAAATATCAACAGGGTTTTTTTTTTAATCCAGTTTGAGAGACAACGTTCTATATCTGGAAAAAAAAAAAAGAAAAAGAAAAAGAAGTCACAACATTTACCTGAGATGCTAAAAGCAGAAATTTTAACTCATTTTAAAGGTAACAGTTTAGTTATGTTATGATGTATGCAAGAAAATTAATATCCTATGCATTTCAGTGAGATAAGGGAATAGGGTCAGTTTTAGCAGCATTATTCCAATCCTTTATGATGTTAACATTCATCACCTGAAACATCAAAATGAGTGACCAAAACAGAGTCCTCTGCTGAGCCACTGGAAAAGAAGGTAGGCACATCTAATGACATCAGAAGAAACTCTCTGGATCCTCTGGAAACCAGGACAGCCCCAATGAATGAAAACCAGGAACATCTTGGGAAGCAGGGTATCACTCTCTACTGCATGAATCCCGTGGCTAATATTTCTCATGCTTCTCCCATGCAGCACACACTGACATTCTGGGTCCATCACTAGGAATGCTGGCCTACAAATGCCAAGATTTTACACAGGGTCTAATTGCCTATTACAAAAGCCTCACAAAGACAAATGCTTTGCACTTCCAGCAAACCAAAACCAAACATCCCTTTTGGTAAAATAAAACAGCAGGCAAGGTTAACAAAGTACCCATAAGCCACCAGGATCATTTACTAGGTATTCAAAGCTAAAGTTAGCAAATCTGACACTTGAATTGCCTTTATTAGTTTAATGTTTGATTATAGAGCAAACCTCTATATATTTTTTCAATGTGTATACATTACAATTTTAGAATGCCGACCTTTGAAATTCTTTTGCCCACCTCAAATTACAGATTTTGTTACAAAGACTGCATATTTCCATGACTAGTAGGGCAGAATCAAGAACAGCTTTGAGCTTCCTTACACTAAAATACAGAGGGTTTAATTTTTAATTTTTTTCAACCACTACTGACATATTTCAACTCAAAGTACTCCTGAAATGTTTACCAGTGGGAACAGAATACCAGTTAAAACCAGAATTGCAGACACTCTTGACATAGAAAATTAAGGGAATAAAATAAGGAGACTTTAAAGACATGCTAGGATTTTACAAATTACATACAATAATTTTTTCTTACATGCTTTCAGTGAAAACTGAAGAATTCATTGAAAAGGGAACTTTAATCTCAAGTGTTTGTGCTGGTTTGGACTGGTGTAATTTCCTTCACTGTGACCAGTAGAGGCCATGTTTTGTATTTGTGCTGGAAACAGCACTGATAATTCAGGGATGTTTTTGTCACTGCTAATCAGTGCTTACACACTGTTGAGGCCTTTTCTGCTCTTCACCACACCCCACCAGCGAGGAGGCTGGGGGTGCACAAGAAACTGGAAGGGAACACAGCAGGGACAGCTGACCTCAACTGACTCAAAAGATATTCCATATCATATAAAGCTCAGTATATAAAGATGGGGCAAGAAAAACGAAGGAGGACATGTTTGGAGTGGTGGCTTTTGTTTCCCCAAGCAATTGCTGTCTGTGATGGAGCTCTGCTCTCCTGGGGATGGCTGAACATCTGCTTATCCATGGGAAATGGTGAATAAACTCCTTGTTTTGTTTTACTTGTTTGTGCAGCTCTTGCTTTAACTCAACTGTTTTTAATTTTTATTCCTCCCATTCTCTCCTCCATTCCACTGGGCTGGTGGGGAGTGAGCGAGTGGCTGCTGCATGGGGCTTGGATGCCAGCTGGGGTTAAAGCACATCAGCTGTGACTACACAAAAACCTCATTAAAGGCCTGCATCGTTAAGACTGCATTTCCTTTACTATTTCATTGCCATAATTTGACCCCTGCCTCCCCCCACCCTTCTTAAGGGAAAATATCATGGCATCCCTTTTCTAAATACATCTTATTTCTTCATATTGGCAGCAGACACATTGCTATCTCCCTGCACTCCTTTACACTGAAGTCACACAGCTCTGGATGGCACAGCAGCACGGGAGCTGTGACCTTCCACTTGTACAAGGCTAGAAGGGTGTACAACCCTCTGCTTCCTGCAGAGGTGCATATCAAATGACAAGAATGAATTATTTTTGGGATCTCAGCTTGCATATATATAGTTTTGGTGTACAGGGATGACTGTAAAAAAATTAGGAACTGCAGAAGGATCTGTAACTAACAACCTGATGATAAAGTAACAGATGAAATTACCACAAGGAAACATTAAGTGGCGTACATTATGAAAAAATCCCAGGGGTTGTTCAGTTGGAAGTTTTTTGGCTGGTTTTTTTCAGTGGGTTTTTTTTTTTTAATAGATAGGAGGATGGACCTGAACTCTATCCTCCTAGCTAGTAAAAAAATATTGGGAGCTGTACTATGAAATTCTGTAAAACCATCAGCAGCAGTGAAAGAATAATAAATTTGTTACAGACTACTATGTAGAAAGCAGAAACCAAACCATCACTACTCCATTACACAGTACCTGCTCTCTCATCTTGAGCACTGCGTGAACATCCAGTCTTATAATTTCAAAAAGGATATAGGAGGATTAGAAGGAACAAGTGAGAAGTGCAAAAGGATGAATACAACAAAAAGCAGCTTTATTATAAGACAAAAGTAGCACTTTTCCTGTCTGGAAAAGATGTAACCTAAACCAAGTGGCAGGTCTATAAAATCAAAAGCTGTACAGAGATGGCAAATAGAGATCAACAGTTGCCTTTTACTCTTACTTCATATATTGGCAGAAATCGAGTGAATTCAGCAGCAAGAGGTTAAAATCCAGAAAAGGAATTTATTCCCTACAGTGTGCAGTCATCCAGGGGAGCTCCTGCCACCATCCCCTGCCAGCACTGCAATAAATACCAAATCCTCACCCCTACTTTGGCCAGTCCCTGACTGTGAACTTCAAGTCATTGCATTCCAGGAGAGTACAGCAAGGAGGTATCATTCCAGTTTCCACTATTCTCTGCCCTAGATATGCACATCAGCCACTGGCAGAGACAAATACTGTATACAGACAAAATTTGTCTGACACAGTGCATGACTGCCCTTAAACTCTTCATACAGTAGGTTTCTTCTGGTGCAATCCGGATACCATAGAAATTATTTGGCAAAGAAGGAAGTCACACCACCACCCTGCTTGTTCTTAAAGAGTACAAATGCTAATAAAATACGTGTTTTGAAAGAAAACTCTACCAATTCTTTTAATTTCACACTTCTTGAAGTTCAGACTTGTGAGACATGAGGCTGTAAAACAGTGTAAAACCCACAGGAGCACAGAGCTTTGGGGTCCTCAGATTAGGAAGACACAGGAGAACTACAATCTAGACTTGCTGCTCTATATCAAGTGCTTAGGAATGTATAGCCTGGCAGTATATCTGCCTCCAACAAAAGAAAATTCCTTTGTCAGTTCAGTGAAATGTCAAAAAGACACTTTGTGAACCCTTTGAACCCTTTGAGGGTTTGGGGAAGTGATGAAAAGACAGTGATGCAAAAGTTCAACACGCAGTTTTCCATTGATAAGGTCCTTCCCTGTACCTTTAGATGAAGGCTCTCATTCCCTTGGGCAGTCTATCATCTCATGAATTACACTGCATTTTTACCACTGCTTTTATGACAGCACTCCCCCGTCTGCTTCCCCAGCAGAGCAGTGCAGCAGAGGGGCCCAGAAACTCCGATGAAGCAACTGCTCTTAGCATACCAGAGCCTTGACCCAGAGCTCAGGGCTTGGTTCCTCCTTCTGCTGCTGGAAGGTGGAGGTGGCCTCAACCACGGGAGGAACGCTCTGCCTGGGCGCTGCTTCTTCAGTGGAAGAGGATAAGGAGCAAAGTGAGCAAGGATGGACAGCAGGTGGGTGCATCTCCACAGAGACCATGAAGTGCCATGAGAGTCTGTGCCCCATGATGAAAAAAAAGAGAAGAGACAGCTAAGCATTGCACTCAAAGGATAAGTGGATGGAAACTCCCAAAAATGGAGGCTGAGAGAGACAAACCCAGGAAATTGTGGCAACAGAAGGAAAGCCTGCAGATGTGCCCTTCCACAACAATTATACTGCCAGGGATGCTGTTGAAAGACTGATGAATAAGCCTGAGTTACATTTCCTGAGCACGTGAGGAGGTTCTCATATAATCCAGGAGTACAAGCTGGAACAAGGCAAAAGCAGCAACAAGAATGGCACTTTAAGGATAACAAAAAAAAAAAATAATCAAAAAGGCTGAGAATTACGTAGATCCAGTCTTCAGCATGCAAAGACTAAGATACTTAATGCCATTTCCAGACCCTTTGTTATTGGAAGCAGAGTCTGCAAGAGTGAAACTTCGTAGGTAGGGGACAGACTAGGTCAGGGATCTCTTCCATGGCACCAGAAAGTTGGCATGGAGGGTGCTGAAGGATCAGGCTGATCTTACTGCAGGGCCATCCTCTGTCATCTGTGAAACATCTGAAATGGTGATCCAGAGATTCCCAATCTTCAAGATTAGGAAAAAATTTATCATCAAGTAGGAAAGGAGATTCTGGAAAACCATCTGCTAAGTCAGTCTCACTTCAGTCCTTGCAAAGATTATGTGAGAAATCTTACATACAAGCACACAAAACACCAAAACAAAAAACAAACAACAAAATAAAGCAAACCCAATCCCTACCAAATCACCACAACACAAAAAGTAAAAGGGAAACAGGCAGTACAGATACATCAAAGCCATACCATACTTTAACAATTTGGCAACTCACTTCAAGGAGAGCATTAGTTTGGTGAACAAGGGAAGAGCAGCGAATGGTGTTTGCATTAACTTCAGCAGGGACTGTGATAGCCCTCCAGAGTACTTTTTCAGAACTTAGTGAGATTTAATCTAAAGAAGCGGGTTATCAGGGGGGGTGGACAGCTAGCTGGAGCACCAGGCTTTATGGGTTCTGACCAGCCATACAAAGTTCAGCTGACAGACAACCACTGGTGACAGCTCTCTGAGGCCAAAGCTGGAGCTGACACTTGCTGGTGCCTTTACTGAGAAGCTGAGGGACAGCACTGAAAGCACACTCAGCAAGGTTGCTGGTGACACCCAGCTGGGCTGGA